GGAGGAGGAGGAGAAGGAGAAGGAGAACGACTGTGGGGTCCTAAGCTTGCTTGTTTTCTTGCAGATGTTTCATTACCCTAACTAGGTAACCTCATCAGTGCTAGTAAGGAGTGTGGTTTGCTGTCAGTTTACATTCTGCTGTCTTGCTTGCTGACAATCAACAATCAAATAAGCAATACCCCAATCAAGAAACTGCCAAAGAGTCATTAGTTAACAACCCAACCAAAGAATCCCTAAGATCGCCCCCACCCACACAGATGCACCCCCATTTTATGATCTTTCTTGCCACAGTGCTTAAGAGAACGACTGCAGCTGTTAAGCGAGCAACACAGTTGTTAAGTGAATCGGGCTTCCCCGTTGACTTTGCTCGTCAAAAGGTCGCAAAAGACCTGCTAGCTAGCCTGGGACACTGCAGCCGTCATAAACATGGTAGGAGCCAATTGCCAAGTGTCCAAATTTGGATTGCATGACCACGGGCATGCTGCAACGGTTGTTAAGTGTGAAAAACAATCAAAAGTCACTTTTTTTCAGTGGTGTAAACTTTGAAAGGTCACTAAATGAATTGTTGTGAGTAGTTGTAACATGGTTGTCTGATCATAGAACTTCATATAGCCATTTCTTTATCACATGTCCTCCCCTAGCTCTTTCATAAGAGCAGGAACAAATTAATGGTCAACATGGCTACCTCCAAAAAGACATCAGGCATTTTGTGTTTTCCCCCTGCAAAGGTATATAGCAATAGCACTTAGACTTCTATACCGCTTCACGGTGCTTTACAGCCCTCTCTAAGAAGTTTACAGAATCAGACTGTTGCCCCCCAACAATCTGGGTCCTTATTTTACCCACCTCGGAAGGATGGAAGGCTGGGTCAACTTTGAGCCGGTGAGAATCGAACTGTTCTATCCCAGCCTACTTCACAAAGACAACCCCTCTTTTAATAGTAGACTGGAAAAAAAACCCCTTTTTATTTGAGTTACAGACCTGATAATTGTCCCAGAAAACAAAAGCAACAGAACACTTTTCCAATGGAGATCTTGTCCAAAAGCAAAATGGAGCACGAGTCAAACAAGAAATAACTCACAGGCAAAATAAACAGACCATGATCTCTTGAGACTGAAGTTCTTTCCAAATGGTTGCCTCCAGCAACCAGCTCTGCTCACACATTCCCTTTTTGTTACGCAGCCCCCAAGTGGCTTCTCACTGCTTTCTCCTCCTCCCCTGGAGTTGCCCCATTGCCTCCCTCTGTCCTACTCGTGTGATCTGTCTACCATTACGAGCATCTCTGAGGTCTTCCAGCTGTGCTTCCTCTGAGTCTGACTCAGCTTCCCAGCACAGCTGGCTCTCAGCTTGATCACGAATGGAAGGACCAGCCTCTTCATTAGTTTGCAAGTCCTGCAGCTCATCAGAGCCTCCCTCGGACTCTGATGGCTCTCCAGGCCTGTCCTCCTCCTCCTCCGATTCCCCAGATTCAACTACCGGGATCACAGGTTGGCATGGAATCACAAAATGAACTGCTGAACTGCTGTCAGCCGGCAGCCGGCAGTAGTAGCCTGCAGTTCTGCACTCTAACCCAAGGGTCCCCAACCCCCGGTCCATGGACCAGTCCCGGGCCGCAGCATGCCAGCAACCAGTCCGCACAAACAAGCAAAGCCCCATCTGCGGGATGCAGGCAGACCACAAAACCACACACCCTCCAGTCCGCAGAAAAACCTCTCTCCACGGAACCAGTCCCTGGTGCCCAAAAGGTTGGGGACCTCTGCTCTAGCCACTGTGCTCCGAACTGGGTTCAACTCCTGGTGACTTCATGAACACAACTATGTGGAGCTTTCTGGCTGGAAGGAATCTTCTTCTGAGACACCTTTCAACTTCTCAGTGGCAATCTCCAGCTTGGATATCCAAATGAAGTCCAAGATTACTTTCGTTGCTGCAAAACGTACTGGTTTATTGAATATATGGCTTGACATGGGTGAAGGAGTGTGCATTCAGCTGGTTCTCTGAACTCAGCAAAATTTAGCTACCGGTTCTGCCGAACTGGTGCGAACCAGCTGAATCCCACCACTGAGTCCAGGTGACAGCGGTTGGCTTCCTGTGTGATGTTTTTCCAAGTTCTAACCAGGCCCGGCCTTCCTTCAACTTCTTGAGATCATCCAAGGTCAACTAATCAACTAGGTTGAACATGAAAAGAGCTACCTAAATTGGCGAACGTCTCTTCCGCACTTGATGAAGACATGTCCGGCGTGGATCCGTCCACTCTATAGTCCCCAGTTCATCAGCAACAGCCTTGTTCTCAGCTCTTAACAAAATGAATGTATTTGTCTCACTGCCATGTGCGTCATCAAAGTAGCTCCTTCAGGCCTTATTAAGTTTATGCCTCTCCATCAAAAATCTTTCTTCTCTGAATCATCCCATTTTTTGAAAAATTGCAGGCAATTAGGTCTGAATTCACCTGAATAGGACTTCCAATTCCCTGTAATTGATTAAGCTTTGTCATTTCTCTTCTAGTAGCCATTGCTCTTCCTGCTGTGTGCCTCAATTGCATGAAGCGGGCCTATCTTGAAGATGCCATCAATGTTGCTGGCTTCTCTAGATCCTCAAGTGCAGAATGCCAGGCCATGTCCTTTTCTTCTTGCCCCTTCCTTCCTTCCTTCCTTCTTTCCTTCCTTCCTTCCTTCTTTCCTTCCTTCCTTCCTTCCTTCCTTCCTTCCTTCCTTGTATTCATATAGCTAAATTCCTTCCTTCCTTCCACTTATATAGCTAGATTCATTTCTTTCTGATTCCTTCCTTCCTGATTCCTTCCTTCCCTCCTTCTTTCCTTCCTTCCTTCTTTTCATATAACTAGATTCCTTCCTTCCTGATTCCTTCTTTCCTTCCTCCCTCCCTCCCTTCCTTTCATATAGCTAGAGTCCTTCCTTCCTTCGTTCCTTCGTTCCTTCCTTCCTTTTATATAGCTAGAGTCCTTCCTTCGTTCCTTCCTTCCTTCCTTTCCTTCCATCCGTCCTTCCATCCTTCCTTTTATATAGCTAGATTCATTTCTTTCTGATTCCTTCATTCCTTGCTTCCTTGCTTCCTTCCGTATAGCTAGATTTATTTCTGATTCCTTCCTTCCCTCCTTCTTTCCTTCCTTCCTTCTTTTTGTATAACTAAATTCCTTCTTTCCTGATTCCTTCCTCCCTCCCTCCCTCCCTTCCTTTCATATAGCTAAATTCCTTCCTTCCTTCCTTTTTCCTTCCTTCCTTCCTTCCTTCCTTCCTTCCTTCCTTCCTTCCTTCCTTTCTTTCTTTCTTCCTTCCTTTTATAAGGCAGTCCAACTTGCAATTTTTGGGTGGCAAATACCAACCAGCACAAAAAAAGAACCAAGGAACACAAAAACACAACACCGTTCAACACACCTGAGGTCAAACTGCAAGGCTACGCTATATATATAGACAAATCATGAAAGAAAACTCTTGTGTGTGGTTTTTTTTATCACATCCCTTTGATCTAAGGTGGAGAAGACCTGCCCATCCATATTAACCATTTTGAAAACTAACCTTTGTACCAATCCGAGATATATATTGTGGTGTCTGTGGGTGGGTGGATGTACTTATATATTGTATGTACTTATATATTGTATGTACACACACACACACATACAAATAGGCCATCCGTTCCATCTACCTAGGATATGTTCCCAAGCACTTGTCTTATCACTCTATTGTTATAAGCATTTCCTCAAAACCACTGGCTGAACGAACCGTATTTCAACCTTCTGCTACCCCAGGGTCATTTTTTGTAAATACACGATCAGTCCATTTTTCCCGGCACCCCTAACAATCACTTCAAATTCTGTGCCGTCAGGAAAAAAAAAGAAATAAAATTGCAGAGGTTCACCTGGTTGTTCTTGCAAATCCACACGCTGTTCCCTTGCAGCAGGGTAAAGATTTTGGCTTTATAGCCTTTCAATTCTAGATAGCCGCTTTTCTCGGGAGGAACGGCTGTTCGCGCTCGAGAAATGGCCGGGAGGGCGCGCAGAGCAGTGAAGATGGCGGTTACCCAGTTGTTTCGTTCTTCTAAAAATAAACACACAAAAACGTCACCCTGCTAGGCACCCAGGCAGACCGCCACCCACCCACCCACCCATACACCATGTCATGGTTCCGACAGATGAAACTCTTCAAAGAACTTTGAGGCCTTAAAGAATCCTTATTTGAGTAACATAGCATCAGCGTGTACATAGCCAAAGCCAAAATCTGAATTCCCCTCCCCTGAGCACATAGTACTAAAGCACAAT